GCTGAGGAGGTCTGATTGGATTTTTTTTTTCAGATGTGTTCACTTGGCCACGCTTACTTGGATATTCACAGCACTAATGAAAGGCACATCCCTAATGCAAAGGTCACCAGTCTACTAAATTTCTACTTCCCTATTCAAAGCGTGAGGAGCCATGGTGCATCTTAAAGAAGAGGATGTCAATTCTTTTTCTCTTTTACTACTACAAAACACTGCATTGTTCCCTGGCCTTGCTCTTGGGAATAGCTATATTGTTTTGGCTGAAGCTTTCCAAAAAAATTCAGCCTGAGGCAGATGCCCAGAATGGAAAATGACAAGTTACTGGTCAAAATATGACAGTTATAAGCAGCTCAGAGTAGAGTCTTGTAATTGGAAATGTCAGACGGTCTTGACAATAGGCAGTGCTACCAGCCCACCAACCTCGGAAGGTCTGCTCAGGATTTTACATGTAGGTAGAGGAGGTGCATGCGCCTCCTGGTAGTCTCGGAAGTTTTATACTTGGCACAAAAAGGAGTAGCAAATCTTTCTAGGTGTTAAAGTGTGGCAAAAACTGCACTTCTGCTCCCTGCGGTTATGTCATCTATTTGGATGCAAGCTAGAGAGCTGCCGTGCAAGCTTTGCGCAGACTCCTGTGGTACCTTCTTCCTCTGACCCCAGAGGAAGAGCTCTGGGAACGGGGCGATGACTCTGAATGTCCATTCACACCTGAGCTTCTCTGCAGTAATTGCATTTTGAGTCAGTTGGATTGACTGGTACTTGATTTGATAAACCAAGGACTTTGGGAGCAGTTCTGCAAGGAGAGAAGGCAGGTGTATGCCCCATAGCCTCTGTGAGTGTTGCTCATGCTCTCAGCATCCCTCATGCGGGGTGTACTGGAAGGGCTCTCCATTTATATTTATTTCTTGGGTCTAATACATGTACAGTGGCTCTACAGCTTTCTGCAAGCTTTGTTACCCAGCCACTTGGCTTTAGTTGAGGAAAACTTCGTAATGCTCCAGCCACTACTTGCACTTGAATCAGCCGGTCACTACTTGCCTTTTAGATCGCCTCCCGGGAGAGAAATTCGCCTCTCCCTAGTGCAGGGGGAGCCATCCAGCTCCGTAGTCAGGCACTGCAGTTTCATTAAGTTTTATATTTAACTTTCCCTCAGCGCCTGGGACCAGAAGGAGTATGTTTGTGTCTCGGAGCTGGAACACTACATTGAATTACCTTGTTGGTTTATCTGGTCATAATAGCAAGAGAGATCCCAGTGCTATAGTTAAGAGTCTGTCAGCATTTCCATTATAAACCTCTTATTCTCAAGAGCTTTTAACTTAGCTTTAAAAATCTGTTCCTTTGCACAAACTTAGTTTATAACATGGTATAGAACTATATTTTATCTTTTAACATTGCAAATACACATGTAGTCAGGTCATATTGAACTGTGTGTGTGTGTGTATCCAAAGAGGTACTAGTTTTAGACAATGAACAACCTATCTGGTGTCTTCTCTTCTTTTCAATTTAGCTGAGAAGGTACTACTACTTTGCGCATTTCAATAGATGAACTGAGTTTGACAATCTCTTCTGCTACCAGCACATGAACTCTTCTAATATATGTTAATATGATCATTCACAGTGCAGCACAGTCACACTCTGGAGGAAACAGAAGAGGTTTGGCACAAAAGCTGCTTGCTCTCCTTTTCCCATTATTCTAGACAATGATTCAAGGACACTTCACTCACCCTCTGAAAAAGCAAAACAAAATCTTTGACCAGCTGACTTAGCAGGGAGAATTTGGCAGAGATGTCGTCATGGCTTTCTCTGCTATGGTCTGTCAGGCAAAGACTCACTGAGCAAGCCCCCACAGGCTGCTGAGGCAGTCTGGACTCTTTGCATTTTGAGGTATTTCCTCAGCACTTTGCAGAAACACTCCGTCGTCACTTGGACCACCTTTGCCATTCGGGCACCCATGTCTGCACACAGCCCAGTTCAGTGGTGCCACTGGTACTGCTGGCACGGCACGGCAGTGGCTACCCTTGCGTCTGATGTGGCAGCAAAGGGCCTCAGGGGGACAAGCCGTGTTCAGGAGGTGGTGGGGAGAGGTGGTTACAGCTCTGGGAGTTAAGAGGGACTGCAAGGACACGAGCAGGGAGTAGGAAACCTGGCATTGCTAAGGCGAGGAAGGTGGAGAGGACTGACTTCCTCTGCCTGGGAGTCTGAGCAGTGATGGACAGCAGGGCTGATGGGGCAAGGGGAGGAGAACAGACGTTACCAGGTTTGGTAGACTGGAGCAGTGAGCTGGCAGTCCTGTAAACCAGGATTCAGCTCTTTCGCAGGACAGGAAGGCACCACTGATGAGAAGTTTTCTCCAGGCACCACTTTCCTGACTGAACCAGTCTCCTAAGACCTTACCTCCTTCCCGCTCTCTTTGCTTGCCAGACAGTCCCGGTTGGGAGTAGAAAGGTGATGGAGAAGACAGCAGCCACAGGTGCTGGGTCTTCAGCTCTTAGCAGGGCTCCATTGGCTGTTTGTTTGGTTTCTTTAAACCAAACTTCTCTTTGTTTCCCAACAGAGAACGACTGCTGGGTCCTTCAAAGGAGCAGTGGCAGTTTATGTATGCCAGCTAAAGAGCCAGCCAAGGGACTGCCACTATTGCAGAGTGGGGGGAGTTGAACTCAATGACAAAAAGCACTGGTCCCATCTGGTGCACATGGCCAGAGAGCAGAGTTATGGGTGGGTGGGACGGGGGGGGGGGGGGGCCCGGCCCACCGCTTTGATTGGGC